CCGTGTCTGTCGACTTTGCCGCCATGTTTGCTCAGCTCCCGTGGAGCAGTTGCAGCAGGGGGGTGATGTCGCCCTTTCTGTGCCCTCCGAGCTGGGTTACTCCAGCCTGACTCTCTTTTGTGTCTGTCTTTGGATGGCTCCGGGGCCTATCACCGCACACAAGAACATCGGAGCTCAGCCTCCTACCTGCACTAGTAGAAAATAGCAGAATGCATCTCCACGGGAGTGTCCATCACATTGACACCACATAAACACCAGCGGCAGTGGCATTTCACAGCAAAAATGATGTCCCCAGAACGTGGTGCATCCGTGCTTGCTAGGCAGTGTACCAGGGCCCACAGAGTCACAGAGTACACATGACACATTGCTCAAAGGCATTTCTTTTGCTTCAACATTTAGGGGCAAATGAGACATAATTTTATACTGAATATAAAATTTTTATGGGAAAAAAATCAGGCATTCCACAACATTTTCTTCTTTCAGGCTCCTTCAGGCTCCCCGTCTTCTCGCACACATGCCACATCCACGCTCCCTTCTCCTCCCTCATGGTGGTCCGTGGGTGGGAGCACTTGAGAAGCACTAGATTACACCGCACAGATGAGCACTACATGGCGGAGTCACCACCAAGGGCAGTTTCAGAGATGTGGTCCAATTTTGGAGAAGGAAATAGAGAAAATGGACCAAAAAAATTAAAAACTGCTGGCATCAGCTTTGCCCTTACCTCAGCCAATCCAGGCCAGCTGTCCAGACTCTGCCATCTGTATCTCTACAGTAGGTCCACTGGGACGCTGAGCTTTGCGTCTTGGGGTGGAGGTGGGATTGGGAATCTGGAAGTCTGCCCACCCTACAGAATGTCGCTTTGATTGTGCAGTGCTATCTGAGCCAATATCTGATAAGATGGCAGCATAAAGGTGACATATTCTGTCTATGCCTCTACTGGAAATCGATTTTCTATAACATATTAATAGTCATGATATTAGGACACATTTATGGAGTCTCAGCGTGCACCAGACTCAGCAAGCACCAGAAGGTTCACGGGCATTATTTCATTTAATCTTTAGGAAATGGCCACACAGCAGATTATTATCATCCCCGTCTCACAGAGAGGAAATGTAGTGTCCGAGGGTTAAACGGGCACAGCTGCCCACCAGGAAGTGGTGAGTGGGTGCTCCCCCACATCTGAACCCTGACCGCGAGGCCAGTAGACTTGCTCTGAGAGTAGAGATCCTGTGTCCCCATCTCCAGACCAAGCGGGCTCTGCACTGACAGACACTCCTCAAACCAAACCCCCATGACCTCTTGTTCAGCTGAACGGGGGCTGGCCCCATGGAAGCAGGTGTGGAGGCCAGACCAGTCCACTGGCCACTCCCGCACACCTTCCCATGTCAGCGCTGAGGGAAAGGCCTCTCCTGTGTCTGTGGCAGGGGCCCTGAGACTCAGAACCTTTCCAAGAGACTCTGCTGTCCTGTGGTGACGTCCCTTCCTGCTGTGTTCCTGCTGAGTTCCACTGGGGAGGACTCAGGGCACACTGAGTTAGGAGACCCAGACACTGCAGATCCTTCTAGCTCCTCTTGGATTGTGTCATGCAAACAGCCAAAGGGCCTTTCCTGCCTGAAACCTTAGAAACTGCTAAACGTGAACCTGGGTGGGAAATGAAAATTGAGTCAACTGACTGTTTCCTCTATTGATGCCATTCGAGAGCCCAGGCTTGTGCTGTTTCTTCTCTCTGAATTGAACAGTGAGTTTGTTTTATCTTCTATGATTCAGTTTGACTGTCTTTGCTTAACCAGAATGCTTCAGTGTCTACCAAATGGTGAATTCAGGTGCCGTTTCTATGAGGGTGTGTGTGTGCATTCCAACGGTCACAGGTGGTCTTCTGTTTAATAGTTTACTAACTGGCTTCATGTCTGTTTTTTCCATTTGATCTCTCCCTGGAAGACAGCAACAGGGTTTTTAGGCTTTATAAAATACAGATGATAAAACCAAGGCTGAGAGACTGGCTCTTCCAAGGTCCTGAAAAAATAGGTGGAATCAGGAACCCAGATCTGGGGCCTCCACATCTTGCAGTCTTTCTACTGTGGCAGATAATATGGCCTGGTGGGCAGAACTGTATGGAATTGCTGAAATGTTTATGTGCTTGTGACATACATCAAACTGCAGTTTCATGTTTCCACCCAATGTGAATGCAGCCCGGTGTAGTGTTAAGAGGGTGGCACCGGAGCTGGATGGCCTGTGTGTGAATCATGGCTTTGAAACTTAGTAGTTACCTACCATCTTTGTGCCTTAATTCACGTGCTTTAAAATGAATGTACCAATAGCACTTCCCTACAGAGAAGTAAGGGTTAAGCAAGACAATAAATAAAAGTGCTCAGAATAGTGCCTGGCACATGACTGACGCCCGGACAATGTCACTTCATCATTATTGTAGTCGTTTAGAAAAGCTTGCTGATCTGAAATCCACCCTTCCCAAACCCTACACTGTATCTTGGCCTGAGGTCTGGAAATAATAGAGTAACAACAACAGCAAACAACAACCTCTGCTTTGAGAAACAGTGAGCGATGCAGGCTGAGAAGAGGAGTAGCTGAAGGGCCACGCTGGCTTCTTGGTCGTGCTTGGAACCTTGTGTTTCCAGTCATCTGGATTTGGGGGACTGAAAAAATTCTTTCCTTTCCAAGGAAGAAGTTGAGGCCCAGACATATTAACTGATTTTTTACATCCTGAGGGCAATAGGATGGACCTTGATGTAGTTTCTCATGTGGCTCCAGCCCCCTTCGCATGACTCCAAGCTGCCTTTCAGATACAGGCAGAGTGTCAGGCAGGCAAAGCCCAAACTTGATTCAGAAACCTAAGAAGCCAGGAGGAGGTGGGGGCAGGAAGAAGACCAGCAGAGGAGAGAAATGATGTGGAGGCAGCCCCCAGGGATGCTGCACTGATGCTGCCCCAGGCTGGGGGCACCCAGGGAGTGGACAGAAGAGAGACTGGCTGTCGCTTGGAAAGTGTCGAGCATTTGGGAGGTCCACGAGGTATAGGAGGGCCTGAAGGGAGCAGCGCCACACAGAGGGCAGGCGGGGTCACGTCATTATCTGCCACCATACAATGGGGGCGAGTGACAGGGCTTAAGGCAACAGGCTGTCCCTGACCACGGAGGAGAAGAAACAAATCAAGGTTGATACTGAAGACATAGCCCAGGGGAGCTCCCACCTGCAGGACATTTCCGTGCAAGACACCGGGAAGCTCATACTGGATGTCCGGTGTGTGCACGCGAGCGAGAGCGTGGACTCAGGGAGACTGTGGTGACGAGTCCTCGTCCACGTGGTGTGTGCTCACCCCTGGCACTCAGTGAAGCAGGTGGCCGGAGCCTTGTCCACGGAGGCTGCTGAGGAACTGCGGGATCACAGTGTTCCCAGGAACGGCCAACAGGATTTGTTGGGTAGAGAGTGGACTTCATGTATTTAAGAGCAAAATACTGTGTAACTAGAGTGTTGGACAGTCAACATGTGCCAAAAAGCATATGATCTACTATAGTCAAATGAAAAGGTGTTGTGAAGATGAAATATCATACAAATGTGTAAGCCCTTTTCAGAAGATTCTCATCGTGTTTCCATTTCTTTCTGTCTTGATGTTTCCAAGTTGAGGGTTCTGTTCAATCTGATAGATTTGGGGTTGGGTGGGGGCCAGTTGGAACCCATCTCTTCTGTGGATGCTTTTTGAGAAGAAGATGTGGCCAGAAGATGTCCGCTCACTCCTTGAAACTAGAATAAGCAGGTCCCAGAGCTAAGGAGTGGTCATTGACAATAAATAGCTGTCTCCACGGCAGTTTTGTGTACATGGTTTTATGTTTTGCTGTGTGTTTGTGTGTGTTTGGGTGTGTTAAAATACGTTGGGATATATTCTTGTACGTTCACTTCTTCTGGATTGATTCTTTTATTTTCTTTACGACGTCCTGAGCAAAGACTCTCAGCAGAAGTCTGAGCGAGGCCTAGGCTGGGCAGAGTGGCTGCCCCAGAGTGGAGACCCCTGTGCTGTGGACATTGCGAGGACTAGACGAGCAGTCCTCCCACTTCCCCTTGCACCGCAGGGCAAGTACACGCGCCCCACCTTATGGTGATGCTGTGACGCGGGCAACCCTGGGGGGTCTGATGGCATCTCCTGTTGAGGGCCAGTGGGCAGAGCAAACCTGAGGGCTCAATTTCTCCACAGATCTGCCCTGTACAAATTCTGAGACTTGTAACTGCTTTCGCTCACTGGGCTGGGTTCTGGGTCTTCTGCCCGCATCATGTCACTCTGGATCACTTGGTTTTCCATGTCTCTCTCTCCTGTGGTCCAGCTCCTTCCTGAAACCAGAGCTAAAATACTAAGACCTCTCAGTGTTTTGTCCTGAAAACTGTTTCATGTTCAGTCTCAAGAGCCAAGATGTTGCCAATTTAACCTACCGTTCTATTTCCATTTCAAACGCAGAAACTCGGGACAGAGAGGACAGCAGGATTCGATTTCCTCAGTGTCAACACTCCTTGATAATTGTTTTAGCAAAATTAATGTTATAAAATGAATGACTTTCACAAAATGCCTGCTGCTTCAGTGAAGGCGTGTTTTTTAGAACTACTTGACTCGGATCGGAACATTAAGTTTTTTTGCGTTGTGTTCTCTGTGAGAGATTCTTCCCTGCTGCTCATAGACTTGTCCTCTGTTGTCTGTTTTCTCCATCGCCCACTGTCTGACTTTCCCGTGGGCTGCCACCACATCCTTTGTGATTTAACTGTTTTCTTTTCATTTACATGTAAGTATCAGCATTACAGGGACTGTACTCGAAAAGCAGAGTTTACACTCAGTAAAGAGGCGGCAACTTCTGAACAAAATGGGACTGTCTCGAGTAGTTTTCTCGTGAAGGAGTTGAGATGCACTTGCACATTTATTTGCACCGTGTCCGCTGTAGGAACAATAAGCATTGTTGAGAACATTGTGATGTCCTTGTGTGTTTACCCTCCTCAGGAGAGATGCTGCACAAGATGTTGAACCACATGGACGCCGGACGCATCCGTTTCCTGGGCCGTGTCTTGGTCAATCTGTCCTCCTGTGTGGCGTTGAACCGTTTCCAGGCGCTGGAGTCTGTCGCCATCCTGGAGTCTACAGCACATGAACTCCTGCAGCAGAACAGTTTCTTGGCCAGTAAGTATTCAGTGAAACAATATGCTCATAGAGGCACAGGCTCAAATAGGTTGTCATTTTGCATATTTCTCCCTAAATGTGTCTTACAATGGCTCAGAAAGAAAAGAAGTCCTTTCCAGATGAAACAAAATAAAGCAGAAGTAATTGTGTTGAGTTGATGAAAAGATGGGCCTCGTACATGACTATTGGTGTTTTCACCATCCTGGGCCCAGTGCTACTCACTGCATCTGTTTTTCCTAATTTATGGTGTCATTTTATGGTTAAATCTCACACAATAAATTATATTTTTCCTGATCGAAGTTATACTCTGATTTCCTTGATCACTTTTATTTCTATCATAGTATCTTGATATCCTGGGGTGGAGGGAGCAAAGACAACAGCCAATCAATCTCCATCTGTTAATAGTTCACTTGTTCAAGATAAATGTGATGTGTTCTCACATTCATTTTGAATAAACATTGAATTATTTTTTATTTGGGTTTGTATTAGTTTGCTAGGGCTACATGACAAAGGACTGCAGACTGGGGGACTTAAACGGAAATTTATTTTCTCATGGTTCTGGCCAGAAGTCCAAAATCAAGGTGTTGGCAGGGTTGGTGCCTTCTGACACTGTGAGGAGGGTCGTTCCAGGCTTCTCTCCTTGGCTTGTAGATGGCCGCCTTCTCCCTAGGTCTCTTCTCGTCATCTTCCCTCTGTACAGGCCTGGGTCCAAATTTCCCCTTTTTATAAGGACATCAGTCATATTGGATTAAAGTCTACCCTAATGACCTCATTTTCACTTGATTACCTCTGTAAAGACCCTCTCTCCAAATAGGGTCACATTCTGATGTGCTGGGGGTTAGGACTTCAACATATGAATTTTGGGAAGGCACAGTTCAATCTGTAACAGGTTTTCTATATGAAATTCAAAGAATTCATGTGCCAGAACACAGTGTACATACGTTTACATTTTGAATGATAAGTACCCCAAACATATCAATTCTTAGAAATGCATCTGTAATCTCAGAGGAGGGAAGCCTGATTATTTGAGCAGCCTTGTGTAATTTTTCAAGTCCTGCAAAAATGCAAAACAAATAATTTTTTTGTATTACTCACACCACTGTGTGGTTTTATTAAAAATAAAGACGAGCATTGGACTGGGAATTAGGAGTTAGCTTACTGCTAACTGCCTGGGTAACGCTGAAAATCAGATTTGCCTTACTGGTGCGTGGGGCCCTCTGCAACAGAGGGCTGTGCCAAGTCTCCAGTCTCGTCCAGCTTCCAGTTGGACCCCATGCTGGCATTGTGTGAGCTGCTGCTCGGTTGTGGTGACATTTGTTTTCCCTTTTCTGCCATTAGGTATCATATTCAACAGTTCCTTAGTTGGCAAGAACTTCAGGTCAAAGCCTTCCCAGCTGCCACCCCACATCACATACACAATCCGGACCAGTGTCTTATACAGCATGAGAACAGATTCGGTGAAAAACCCTGTTTGGAAGTTCCATCCTCAGAGCCTACCAGCTGATGGTTTCAAATATAACTACATCTTTGTCCCTTTGCAAGACATGATTGAAAGAGCCATCATCTTGGTGCAGACGGGGCAGGAAGTTGTGGAACCGGCTGCACAGGTGCAGGCCATCCCGTACCCGTGTCACACCAGAGACCTGTGAGTAGCTGGTGTCAGAGCCACGCTTTCCCCAGGTGTCCACTTACAGTGAGAAGGGCTTTGAATTTGGAAATCTGAGTAGAGAAACATTGTGAAGCTTCTCTATAGTCATCCCAAAGATCATTTGAAGAAAATCCATTGCCCTTTTTAATTTCTTAAGGTTCATTTTTTTATATGCCTGAGCTCTCCAGATAGCAGAATAATTGTTGACGTAATGTGATCGAGTGGAGCTTTGATTTGACACAAAGCATCTGTAGCTTTAAAGACCCTTCAGAATAAATTTGGACAATATCCACAGGGGCTTTGCATATCTGACTCCAGATTCTACCTACCTGAACTAGGGAAATAGAGGAGGGTATTTCATCTTCAGTGCAAATCCTTAAAACGTAGGCATGTGCCACCTACTTGCAGGGTGGAGAGGGATCCCCAGATGCCTGGGACAGTGGTTTAGGGACATGGGAGGCAATCTGAGAACACTTGCCAGTTAAATTGTGTGATTGGGCTGGTGACGTCTTTGGGGGAAGAGAAGAGAAGATCAGTTAAGGGCTGGAGCAGCTGGACGACAGGACTTGAAGGAGAGACATTAGAGCAGACATCGGGGGGTGAGTGGGCAGGCCAAGGAGGTTGAGAAGTGGAGTGGAGGGTGTGGTCCAACTGAGACTTGGGCCCCTGGGTAGAGTCGGATGGTGCAAGGACTTAGAGCCGTGTTGCTGCGGGCTGTGGGTTGCTGTTCTCGTAAGCACCTCCCATGCCTGGACTAGAGAACACTGACTACAGATAGTTTGCAAACTTTTTGTTCTCTCTGGAATGCCCATGAGGAAGCAAGGGGCTGAAGATGAGGCTCTTAGAGGGACCATCTGGAATCTGTTAGGCAACAGATGCTCATCCTTCGGCAAGATGCTGCAGAACAGGGGCGGATAAGTCAGGACTGCCTCTCCCGGTGATTGCGGCCATGCTTGTATGACAGGGGTCTTGACGTCTTACCCCCTCCTTCCCGTCTAGTGATGTGCTTTCTACATCATAGCTCCTCAATACATTTTTGATGAAGAAGATGGTGGTCTTACAGGAAGAACCTTCTCACTGTGGTGGGATAAAAGGCTGAACGCTGCCTGGTTGTGCCTATCTTGGGTTATCATAGCAAGGTGGAGAGAACAGAGGGTCAGGAAGAGAGACCAGGTGTCATTTTAAGCCAGGGAATGCCTCATTATGCAAATCGTTAGTAAGCCTCTTAACCTCCTTCTTTGCAAAATGAAAGCTTTTCTTTCCTTTCAAAGCAATGATATTTTTGGCTTTGAACATTCTCAACCATTGCTCTTCTGTTCCTACATCATTTCTCTCGGAGGTGATGGTACAGAGAACAGAAATCAAGAAAATGGCAGTTCTTGGCGAGATGTCATGCAAATACTTCACACCAACTCGCGTACCGGGTGTTGTGAGGGTTAAATGACCTGTTTTAGATACTCAGAGAAGTTGACTTTTTAGGATGCTATTTTTTTAGGTGAATCTCAGGAAAACCCCATTGTAAAAGCCTCTTTCTATCTCCAAAGTATTCTATGATCTCCACCCATGGGAAAGAGATTGTGCTTGTGTAGGTGGGAAGATGCAAATTCCTTCCCTTGTGTTCGCGGGACGAAGCCAGGAGTTTACTTCACACCTGGACACAGGATGGTTCCTAGGAAGGTGTGTTTCGAAGAACAACATATGCTCCTGCAAACAGCTTGACAGAAAGTCAGATGGCCTGTATAATCAGTTTTCCATTCTTGCTGATCATAGTGATTGATTAACAGACATTGTGAGAGGGTTGGAAAGGAGACAAGTAAGATTGATGCAGATGTAGCTTTCACCTCTTGAAGGTCAATTCCTGTGAATGAGAAACATTCATGCCTGAAGTTAGAGTTAGCTGAATGCCCTGGTATGATTCTGTCATGAAATTTCTTTTCTTTTTCTACTCACTGAGACACCAAGATATAATTCTTCAGAACTATTTATTTTCCTTCTTTGAAAGAGGCGAAGAAGTATTTTCCTTCTTTGAAAGATTTAAATTTTTGAGACTTCTCATCGTCGTATATCCTTCCTTTAATTCTAGTTTCAAAAAGTATATGTTTCTTGAGTGCTGATGTACCTGCAAGTGATTGAGACATAGTCTGAGATCTTACAAGAACCTGACACTCAGCCACCTAACTAATAATTAATTCTAAAGCACGGTTCGGACCATGGAGCGCACTTGTTCAAAAATTTTAGTGGTTTCCTACTACTTATTGAACAAGTTACATATTCATTAATTTATTAATTTATTCAACTACATTTATGTCCTATTTGTCAATCTCTAAGCTTGGGGTGAATCAGTGAAGGGAACAAGTAAAAATCTCTGCTCTTGTGGCACTTACAGTGCAGGGAAGCAGAGTCTACGAATACAATGAAGAAGAAACTTCTTCACTGTATTTCTTGGGAGGTGGTAAGTCATGAGGCTGAGCAGGAGTATGGTGGGGCGACCAGGAACGCCAAGAGGAATTATCATGTGGCTACGGTCGACCTTGCCAGGAAAGTGACATCGCAGTAAAGACTCGGAGAGTTACAGAAACACAGGGAAATGAGTTCCAAGCCAGAGGAGCAGCCAGTGCAGAGGCCTCATGGCAGGGGTGCCAGGTGTGTGTGAAGAGCCACCAGAGCAGAGTGTACAGGGTGAGAGTCTGGGAGGTTAAGTCCGAGAGGTGCCCACAGATGGTATGGTTGCAGGTGATCTGAAGGATAGAAGAGGCTGCTGGAGGGCTGTAAGCAGGAGTGACACCATCTGATGTATGATGTACAAGCCTTGCTCAGGCTGTTGTGTGGAGAAGAGTCAGTAGAGGGTAGCTGTGGAAGTGGAAGTCATTTAGGAGGCTGATGTGACAACCCAGGTGAGAGATGATGGTGGCCTGGTCTGGAATGATAGCAGGGAAGGTGGGGAAAAGTAGTCAGATTCTGGCTGCATTCAGAAGGGACACACACCAGAATTGCAAGGTAGAGCCAAGAGATTTGCCAAAAGATCTGATAAGTGTGTAATAGAGAGACATCAAGGAAGACCTGACTATCTTGGCCCAAGTAACTGGATCGCTGGAATTACCTTTAACTAATGTTGGAGTAGGGAAAAATCTCCTTTATTCCCTTCTTGTGTTCTTATGGCTGGACTAATAATAAAACTGACACAAACCAAATTAACAGGAGAAAAATCCAATTTAATATATTAATATTGGAGATCATAGAGAAATGATGCTTGGAGAGTGAACAAAGGCAGTATGTGTATCTTTTACACGAAGAATCAATGCATTTGTGAAGAATTGACAGGACAAAGAAACTTAGGTTTGGGGTACATAATTAGCAAGGTTTGTTTATGCAGGTTCTTGGCCCTTAATCCACTAGTCTGGTGATGAGGATGCAGGGAGAGCACCTTTCAAATGGGAGATTTATTTTCTGCTTTCAGGGGGAGCAGACAGGAGGGTCAGAATGCCCTCTTTGCTTCTCAAGTAACTTTAATTCAAAATAATCAAACTGCTATTGTGGGATATTTTGGGGTGGCCTGCCCTGGGCCCCAACACTAAGATAGAAAAAAACTGTGAGTGGAGAAGTTTTGGGGATAAGAATAGAAGTTCAGTTCAGTTTTGAACGTGTCTAATTGTTTTTAAGAGACCCAGATGAAATGTTAAATAGGCAGATTTCTTCGGGAGGCTGAAGAGCTGCAGCTGGGTATATTATTTGGGAGTCTTCCCCATTGTGACGCATTTAGAGCTCTGAGATTGGACGGCATTACCACAGGAGGGAGTGTAGACAGAGAAACAAAGAGGGCTAACGCAGCCTGAGGCCTCCACCATGAAGAGTTCCAGAAGAGGGCGTCAGGCCGGAAGGCGGAGAAGCATTTGTGGGGTCTTGGCGGCCCCACGGAGCAAACGGCTCCGGGAGGGAGAGTGTACAGTGTGTCCAATGTGGCTCATGAGTGAAATAAGTGAAGATGAGTCGTTGGGGTCCTCACTAAGAGCAGCCGCCATCGGGGCGTGAGAATGATAGCCACATTAGTGTGACACGGGAGGGGCAGAACTGGAGACTGAGTTCAAACAACTCAGGAGAGGAGAGAAAAGGGCAGTGGCTGGAGGGCAATTTGGGCAGAGTGTTCTTTTTTAAATTTAATTTTGTTTTTTTTTTTGATATAGAATGCTATTGGGAATAGTCCAGTAAGAGGGGAAAACTGATAGCGTTTGGGGGTAGTGTACCTTGTCGTCAAGTAGTTGAAGGAGAAGCGACCGTAAGTGGAGGGACTGACTCGATGGCAATTCATCCACAGTAACAAAAGCTAAAGTTAATTTGATTTAACTAAGCATTTCTCATCTTTGAACACAGATGTTTCCTTTTCTCCCCCTTTTTCCCCACATGTAATATCTACTAGCCCATGAACTAATGCTTTGAGGGACATACATTGTGAAATGTTATTTTAAGATTGCAGAGCTGTCTATAATCTGTGCATTAATCTCCAGGATTTATTTATCTACTAGTTGCAAACATCACACTTGCTAAAGACTAGATCTTAATTATTCAAAAAATAAATTATTATTATGTGATATGATAGAGACATTGGCTAAAGCTACAATGGCAATCATATTACAATATATAAATGTATCAAATCAACCTGCTGTATACCTTAAACTTACACAATGTTATATGCCAAATATATTTCAATTAAAAAAAAATTGCAGAGTTGGATGGGAGCCTGACTCCGTAAAATTTAATGTTCATTTCAGCCCCATGATTCACAGGCGGTTATCATGGGACCATTTTATGATTGGAACTAAGGTGTAGTTCATGAATATAAAGAATTTCAAAAATTAATATATTGCTTAAAAGAGTAAGGCAACTTAAAAAGGTTTTCAGAGAATGAAAAACACAACAATACTCTAGAATTGTTTTATATACAAACAGAATATTTCTCAGAAAGGGCACCTGTTATTTCCTCTGCTGCTTTCAGGCATCTT